GGCTGGCTGGCATGTGGTGCTGGGGGATTGAACCGCGGTCCCTTTGTTTTTGCTAAGCTTGTTCTAAGTAGGCACTTTAGACCACTGAGCCATCTCACCAGCCCACTCTTCATTGTTTTCTGCCACATGAACTGCTGTCATTTGCTTTGGAGCCAGCAGAATATGGACTGAACCCTCCAGTAACTGTGAGCTAAATAAACCTTTCCTTCCTTCATTTTGAGTGTCGGGTATTTGTCCCAGCAATGAGTAAAAGGTAACCAAGACAGGCACCAAAGGTACGTCAAACACACGGCAAATGACAAACTAGTAAGGGCTGCACAGTCTTGCAGCACTACTATCTGGAGTATTTGGCCCTTGTGGTGAAAGAGCAGGTCAGCTGGTGTGTAGTAACTGGATCTCCTGCGCTCTGGTCTGGAAATAAAACACATTATTTCTGATATCTCAGTAGCCAGAACTAACTAGAAAGGAGGTGGAAATACCAGGGAGCAAATGATATATATGTAGAGCTACATGTGTGAAAGTAGCTAAACTTCTCACAGCACAGCTGTCCATATCCACATCCCATGTGTCCCCCGGGCCCCTGTGTAGGCCTCCTTATACCTTCTCACAGATCACCCACACACCGTGGAGTACTACTCAGCCATAAAGATAAATCTGAGCCATTTGTAGGATCATGGAGGCATCTTGAGACCACAGTGCTAAGTGAAATAAATCAGGCGCTGATGCCTAAATATTGCCTGGTTTTTCTTATATGAGAAATCCAAAGTATAAATAATTTACAGAGTAAAATAAAAAGTAGATAATAGGAACAGGGAGACAGATCTTTGGCAGATGGGAAGGGGATGTAGGGAGGAGGGGGTGAGGGACCGACCTGTGCTGGGTACATGCACCTGCTACCCACAAGGAGGTACTCTCTATAGATGGTAAAAGAACAGAGAGATGCCCAACCACAGACAGGAAGGGATTAGGTAATTGTAGTTCTGGAGTTTAGCATTTAACCTCTGGGTGAAAACTTCTCTAGTCTGTCTCTATCTGAAAACACAGCAGCCTCCCTGTGACCATTTTGTTATGGGTCAACTCTTCATAGGAACCAGATCAGCCAGATAGAAATTTGAATAGAGCCTTTTATTTACTGAGCTCAGGTCTGTCAGCCACTTTTTACACAGGAGAAGGCTGATCGGCCCCGAATGTAGGTAGCAATGGGGTATTTATAACAGAAATCACATCCAGTTTGGTAAGCAAATTTGTTATCTTTTTTTTTTATTAAAAAAAAGAATGTTGGGCTGGTGAGATGGCTCAGTGGTCTAAAGCACCTACTTAGAACAAACTAAGCCAAGCAGAGCACAGGGACGGCAGTTCAATCCCCCAGCACCACATGCCAGCCAGCCCCGCCCCCTGGTGGGCTGAGCTGGCCACACACACACACACACACACACACACACACACACACACACTAAATAAAATTTAAAAAAAAGAATGTTGAAAAATTTAAAAGAATTGTTATCTAGCACAGAACAACAGAAACTACATTTATTTGACACAGCTGCAAACTGTTTATAACTAAAAGGTTTTTTACAGCTTAGTGTTAAGTGTATATTCTTATAAGATATATCTTAAGCTGACTATGTTATAGGAGATGGTTGGGAAGGGAGTTTGTGTTAGCTTATTGCCTTGACAAGAAACATTTATTGTTGGACAGCCTTGAGCCGAAAGGGAAAACACATTTTTTAGTGTAGATAACAGGAAGCATAAGGGTTTTTTATAATTTTTACAGTTGAGGCACAAAATTCTGTTAACCCTTTAAAATTTCATCATATTTTCTTCCTGTGCCAAAGTTCCTATCTTGTACCTAGTAATTTTGAGATTTGGTGCTTTGGAGATTGATGCAAAGAGCAGAAACAGAACTGAGCTGTCTCTGGAAATGTTGGCAATTAATAATTAGCTCCTGGGGCTGGTGAGATGGCTCAGTGGTCTAAGGCACCTACTTAGAACAAGCTAAGCTAAGCAAAGCACAGGGACCACGGTTCAATCCCCCAGCACCA